GGCGGGGGAAGACGCCCTCGCAGCCTCTCGCCGTCTGGCTGACCGCCGCCGCGGGCCACCGCTCCCCTGCCCCCTCCCGGAGCTGAACCGCACCGACCCTCTCTCGGCGACCGCGGCGTCGTGGTCATGTCCGTGCCCTCGGGCTCTTCTGTAGACTGTCCTTTGTAACACGACCATAAAGTTGACACACAGTTGGTTGACACACTGCTGCAAAATGCATCGAAACAGAACTCATAATTTTTGGCTTATTGAATGTCCTATCTCGAAATTATAAGCTCTTGAACTTTCTTAAATTCAGTGTTCAGGCAGCCTTGGAATCAATACAACCAACCAAAAATCAAAATCTATAGAAAATAGTTTTAATAGAAAAATACTAATGTAACAATTATGGACTCATTAGGCTCACAAATAAAGTTGATATCATTTATTTTTATTTACTTTTATTATTTCAAAATATAAATTTAACTTCTATTTCCCTAGATATGAATGAGGTAAATTTTCAATACGTTATTTTTAAATAAGATTGCATAGCTCAGATTAGGTTATTCCAAACTCTTACAACAATATATGGTACTATTCCTAGATATGGCTTTGTAAAAGTTCTCGTCACGCTAAGCCAAAAAAAGCTCTTATGGCACATTCACTTAAGAACAGACTATGGAAATCAGCTCGCAATTTTAAACTAGCGCGCAGAACATAGTGTTTTTAGCGTGGTATGCGTAGTATTACTATGTACCATTTGTTGACAGAAGCTTTGAATTAAACGCACATACATCTAGTCAATTTTAACCAGAAATGTGTTATTAAAACAGTCACTCGTTCAAAAAACCTATACCGCAACCCAATATGTCGTCTCATTATGTTTAAAAACTAATGAATAGAACACAACATAATACATGAATGACAATTTACTATTTGCTGATATAGATCTTGCCTTGAGATTGTCAAACTGCAGACTTAGTACGGTGGCAAAGTCAGATAGGTCGTAAGTGGACGGTCATACAGATCTTGCCTCAGACAATTCGTTCTAAATAACTTACTCTGGTAGAAATAAAGAAGCATACAATGGCAATCACAATGAGTTAATTTTTAACAAATCAAACTAAAATTAATTATTTAAATTTAAAAGGACAACGTACTCACACTTTCAGGGGGAACTGGGGTGAAATGAAATAAGGAAATAAACTATCGAACCACTTGTCCAAAATTTCAGACAGTATAGGAAAATTTGTTGATGTAATTATTAATTTGCATTGTGTTGCTTTTACTCTACTCTGTTTCTATCTGTTTTGTCCGATTATGATCTAGTAGTTAACGTGACCTTTTAATTCAAGGAGATTAAAAAAGACGAACTAATTTATTGGATAAAATGTTCAATTGAAAGTTGTCGCAAATTAATTGAAATTCAATTACAATGACATGATATTAAGAATAATAAACAAATATCTGCCTTTACAAACAATATATTCAGTGAATGTCGTATTGGCAGCTTACAGTCAACAACAGTACCATACGTATCCCCTTTAAATAAAATTTAATTATAGTAGTATGACATTAGATATCGTCTTAGAAAATGTAACATGACATGATACACTTGGATTTATTAAATTACGTTATCAACAGATGGACATTAAGTGATAAATAAATGAATACATTAAAATAGAAGTTGAAATTATCTGAAATGAAACTGAACAATGCCAAGCACTGTCAAATGGTATAATTGAATCTTGAGGCGGGATCCAAATCCACGATCTTTTTGTCTGAGACCGCCACGGCAATACAGCATTAGCGATCTCGGCTATTCGGATTGAAATTTAAAGTAGATTCATTGGGAATTTGCTCATTGTCAAATATAATTTGCATCTAGAGTGTGACAAATTATATGAGCCTCTCTTTCAGAGACCTAGTTTGCCAACGCAGATTCATTCATCTGAGAGACACTTGCATATAAGTATAATATAATTCATTGTAATAAGTTTGAAGTATTTTGGTTTCTATATTTGTAATTTATATTCATTATAACTAAATAACTTCTGGCCTAGAAAGAACATATTACCTTTACGTAAAACATGATGTTGTTAGATTGTTAAAAATGGAATTGTGTCCCGCTTTGAGCTAAAAGAAATCTGACCTTCTTCGGAAATCACCTTACTCTAATATAAATGTAAGGTGAATTGACAGACATCAATGGGGATGAGGTTGTTCAATCCAGAGTATCGTTACAATGTTTTTATATTGAAGCTCCTGGTTGGATAACTGCGTCTCAGCTGATTATTTTCAGCATTTTATTCGCAATACATGTAAATCGGAATATAATAGTTTTCACGATTGACCCTACCCACAAAGTTCTCCAGGCCGGCCGAGGGTGGTCACGTGGCACTCCCCTGTGCCCTGCACTGAGCTTGGAACAGCCCCGGCGAGCGGCCTCTAGAGTCCCAAAAACGGTGAAAAGAGGTAGAACTCTCCACCTAAAAGACGTGAAGGTCTTGGAAGTAAGTTAGTGTCCTCAAACCACTTTCGCGAAAAATACTTTCTGCACAGACCTCTCCTAACGTGCTGATGACCACAACTAATTCGCCACTTTGTCATCTTTAAAATTAATCAATAGAACATGTAGTTAATTTGTAACACGACACTCGTATGATCATCCTTTTTCTCGACAGAGATTCTGAAAACAATGATCGCCATCTTAAGCATTAAAGTAAAACAAGCCGCTAAATTATTGACAATAAAACTTTTCAAATAATTTTCTCATTTACTTACGTTATTCTGGGTTTTTGAAATTCTATTGAGATTATTCTCATTGAATGCACAAGAAACAAAACGCACTTTCTTTGACATCTCACTGCAATGAGAACTAATAATGATACAACTGCAAAATCTATCTCGTGTAATTTGTAACGATTACAAAGTATTGCAATATTGCAACATAAATCCTATCTTCTTAACTTCTCTTTTACCCGCTATTGAACAAATGGTGAATCAAGAACTCACCATTAGTTTAAATTGATCCTATTACAAGATATAATACGATTTTTTTCGAAACTCCGTCTAGATTCCTACAAATGATTTTCGACTACGACAAAGAATTAACGTGCGTACCTTTACATTAATTTGACAGTGAGTGGTTGTTTTTGTTTCATACGGAGTCAAAGCTTATTCTCGAGTCTCCACGTTAGTAATTTATTCTTGTATTGCAATCTTAGTTTAAGCATTAAGCATTAAACTAAACCGGAAAATATTTCATCTGTATGTTATTACTGAAACAGAATATGCGTTCTTCAGATTATTTACAGTGTTTACGCCCGAATTTAGAAATTTTACATCCTCGCCTTTATTTCAGACGAAAACAAACATTGTAATCGTACGCAGGAAAGCGGCGAATTTTTGACAGAGAGACTGTAATTACCGAGCCCTGATATCAAAAAAGTCGATAAATATTGTTTCTTTGAATAGTAAATTCCGCATTCTAACCCAGTGTGTAGTCAGAATCCATGTTTTAATAGCCCTTGGTATCGAAAAATCGATTGAGGGATGTTCGTAAGTGGTCAAGACTTGCGCCAATACCATTCAGCCAATTTTCAACAAAAGGTATATTCATGGATTAAGGGCACCAATCTCCACTAAAATTTGATACGCATATTTGGATTTTACGTGAAGCCTTAACATTTTACAAATTTTCTCAAAAATGGTTCAATGTTTTTTAATAAAGTTTGTCCTAGTACAGAATAAAATTACGCTTAAAATAATGATGGAGAACTCATTTTCTTTCAAATATGATTTTTTGAAATTATCAAAAGCTCAATTTTTTTTCGGCGTCAACCTCCAGCTAGAATTTTGTAAATAGGTTTCTCTATAATTAAGTCTGACATTTGCAGACAGATCTTGAAATAAGGTTATGTACTAGTGTTCGAAAATACGAGTAATTTTTGTGTCATTTTGCATGAAATACAACAAAATTTTATTTTTTAAATAATTATTTTCTCAAAAAGTTTTTCTTTAAATTATCTTCTCGTATGTATCTAAGGTCGGAATTAGTGATGATGTTAGAATGTGTGTTTGTCGCATTATCGGCACACTATCGGCATTTTCGAAAATTGCAAGAGGTTAACATTTCAAAAGTGGAATATTGTGATTGAGATTTTTGTCTTAAAACTAATTCTTAAAGATCAGCTTTTTAAACTAGCTCTTTATCAGCTCTTTAGAAAAGGTCTTGGACTCTTTAAAAAAATACATTTCGTGTGCTTTCGGCTTGAAGTTTATGCAATTTATAATAAAACATATTTTCTGCCCAGACTCATAGTGTACCTTTACAATGTAAACACAAGTAATACACTATAATAGTGTAAATTCATCATTTTCCAAAGCTATATCTGTAGCGAGCAGATTTTTCAAAGTAATTCGACTTCTTCAAACTGGTTAAAAGAGATCTTTAGTGAAAGGGAGATTCCTAGTGCAAAGGTATGTGCGTATCGGAGTAGCACATACAATTCCCGTTTCTCAGACATCTAAAAAATAATAAAACATTGGAGGACCACTGAAGGTAAACCTTCTGAACACCGAGAAAGAAATCTAACCTGGATGAAGTGGTGAAACAAAACAAATTGCACCTCCCACAGCGGTGCCGCGGCTGCCGGTCGCTGGTCGCCCACGCGAGGACATAGGATCTCCGGGGCGTGCTTGCAGAGCGTGTGAGCCCGGAAGGCGTGGGGATGGGGAGCCGCCGCTGTGGCGCCCGCAGCCCGTCAAGGCGGCGCCGGCCGTTATGAAACTCGCCGGCCGTGAATGAATGCTGCTTCTCGATAATATTCTTTTAATAAATCGATAATTAATTCACAGGATGCGCAGGTGTCATGGCTAGGCCTACACGCATGCACGGAATATGTGGGGAAGAGACATTCTAAATTTTGTCCCGAACAGTGGGAGTCCAAGAGGAGCTGTCTATAACTCCTCGATTCGAGAACATCACAAACAATGTACTTGGATGATAATT